CCTTGAGTCAGAGATTGGGTAAATTATCCCTGCCTCAAGGAGTTTGAGTATCTCCTTCTTAACCACCTCTTTGAGGTTCGGGTTAAGGTATCGTTGATGCTCAATAGAAGACATAGCTTGGTCTTCTAGGTGTATCCTGTGGGTACATATGTCAGGAGGGATCCCTCTAATATCAGCCAACGAATACCCTATGGCTCTCCTGAACTTTCTTATCTTGCTAAGCAATGCACTCTCTTCATGTTCTAATAAGCTATCATTGATGATTACGGGATATGAAGAGTCTGAGCCTAAGAAAGCGTACCTCAGCCCTGTTGGTAGAGGCTTGAGCTCAACAGGGGGTGCATCAGCCTCATTCCAATCAGCATCGAAGCTGCATTGGCTCTGAACAGCTTCCTTGGCATTTCCTTTCTCGCGCGGTTTACCACTGACCTCGGCATAAGATGTCGCGGCCATGATACTCTGAGGTGTCTAAAATGTCGAGGCCACTCTTCCTGAGCTCGAGAAACCTCGTCTCAGCTTCAAGTTCCTTCGGTTGGTCCAGAAGACGCTTGTACACCTCGCTTTCTTCGTTCAAGTACCCGTGCTCGCTGTGTTCCCGAGTTAAAACTACTTGTAACGGGTCCTCTGCGTTCAACTCTTCTAGGAGCTCGTCAGCTAGCTCCTCCAAAGTTTCCACATAGAAAGCTTGACCTCCAATGGTCGGTTTCTTCATTATCTCTTTCACGTCGAACTTCATAGTCTCGGAACCGAGGTGTAGCTCGATCATGCCCCCTCTTACGTCGATGATCGCTCCTGCTATTGCTAAGAACGGTCTCCCCAAGATGATGGGGTCAGCAGGCTCCTCGTCCATCTCTAGAACTATGAAATCAGTCGGGATCTCTATCTCACCTATTCTCAAAGGCAGATCCTCAAGTAAGCCCACCGGTAGTCTCACCGATCTATCAGCTAATACAAGGGAGATCTTGGCCGACTTATAGCTTTTAAACCCCAATCTCTTGGCCACCGTGTAAGGCATTAAGCTCACAGAAGCTCCTAGATCACACAAGAAACTTGAGAACTTCAAGTGACCTATGGCACACGGCAAAGTAAAGCTTCCCGGATCGGATAGCTTTCTTGGTATATGATGCAACCATGATAAAACCAATCACATCTTTGGTCTATCAACAAATGATCCAATTCAAATCAAGCCCAGAATCTCAAGAAGTTTCTAGAAGAAAATCAGATCATGGATATATCAAGAAATTGTCTAGATACAAAGAATTAATCTCCATTAAATCTGATGGCTAAATTGGGGGAAGAAGACCATATGTTTAATTTAGCTGATTTTCTCCTCTTTTTATTGTGCATAATTTTCTCTTGTAATTAATTTTTTTGACCTTGAAGGTCTTGTAAATGAGCCTATAAAAGCTCATCACTTGTCATTGTAAAAAGATATACAGATTTTTGGAAAAATAGAAAGAAAGAGTTTTCTCTCTAAAGCTTAGGCTTTGTTTTTGTTTATCTAAGTTAGGTGGGATTCTTTTACTTATTAAACATTAAATCTATGTCTTTTGTGTGAGATTCCTTAAGACTAGGTTTGTGAACTCATCACAAGGGCTTTCACACCCTTGAGTGGCATTCTTCGATCCACCATCATCATTCTATCAATCCGCTGTTTGAAGATCTGGTTATCCGAAGTCATATAAGCCATTGACAGCTCTGTGCTTGTATCATTTTTGGGGTTTTGACATGTTGTTTTTTAGTTTTTTTAAAAACAAATTAAGAAAACAGAGTGAAATAATTAAAAAAAAAAATATTTTCTTTTTTTTTTTATGAAAGATGAAAAAAAATTAAAAGAACAATTTTTTTTTTAATTTATAAAAAGAAAACAAAGTGAAAAACAATTTCTTTTGGATTTTTTTTAAACAAAATAAATAAATAAACTGAAATTTTTTTTTTTTTTAATTTCAAATGAAAAAAAAAAATACTCAGAAAACAAATCAAAACTGATACAAGCACAGAGCTGTCAATGGCTTATATGACTTCGGATAAACAGATCTTCAAGCAGCGGATTGATAGAACGATGATGGTGGATCGAAGAACGCCATTCAAGGGTGTGAAACCCCTTGTGATGAGTTCACAAACCTAGTCTTAAGGAATCTCACACAAAATACATAGATTTAATGTTTACTAAGTAAAGGAATCCCACCTAACTTAAATAAACAAAAAAAAGCCTAAGCTTTAGAGAAAAACTCTTTCTTTCAATTTTTCCAAAAATCTGTATATATTTTTAAAATGACAAGTGATGAGCTTTTATAGGCTCATTTACAAGACCTTCAAGGTCAAAAAAAATAATTATAAGAGAAAATTATGCACAATAAAAAGAGGAGAAAAATCAGCTAAATTAAACATATGGTCTTCTTCCCCCAATTTAGCCATCAGATTTAATGGAGATGAATTATTTGTATCTAGACAACTTCTTGATATATCCATGATCTGATTTTCTTCTAGAAACTTTTTGAGATTCTGGGCTTGATTTGAATTGGATCATTTGTTGATAGACCAATGATGTGATTGGTTTTATCATGGTTGCATCATTCTCTCCTTCTTCAAACGGTTTTGTCCTCAAAACCGTTTCAACTTGGTGATGTTGTGGCCTTGGTTTTGACATTTTTTTTGAATTAAGAAAACAGAGTGAAATAATTATAACAAAAATTTTTTTTTGAAGGATGAAAACAATTTAAAAATAACAGAAGCTTTTTTTCGTTTTTTTAGGATAATTTAAAAATAGTTGAAAAATTACTTTTGTTTTTTTTTTTGAATTTATAAAAATGAAAAAAGTGAAAACAATTTCTTTTGGAATTTTTTTTTATTTTTTTTTCAAAAAAATAAATAAATAAACTGCAAATTTCTCCTTTTTCTAATTTTCAAATCAAAAAAATATTTAGAAAACAAATCAAAACAATTTTGTGGATTTTTTTTTAATAAAACAAAAGAAAATGAAAATAATAAAGGTTGGAAGAACACCAAAATTGATACAAGCACCAAGCTGTCAAGGGCTTCAGATGAACAAATCTTCAAATCTCTGATAGATAGATTAATCACATTGGATGGATACAACCTGATGGATAGGAGCTTTTAGCTCTGATACCAAAAATGATACAAGCACAGAGCTGTCAATGGCTTATATGACTTCGGATAAACAGATCTTCAAGCAGCGGATTGATAGAACGATGATGGTGGATCGAAGAACGCCACTCAAGGGTGTGAAAGCCCTTGTGATGAGTTCACAAACCTAGTCTTAAGAAATCTCACACAAAAGACATAGATTTAATGTTTACTAAGTAAAGGAATCCCACCTAACTTAGATAAACAAAAACAAAGCCTTTGCTTTAGAGAGAAAACTCTTTCTTTTTATTTTTCCAAAAATCTGTATATCTTTTTACAATGACAAGTGATGAGCTTTTATAAATTCATTTACAAGACCTTCAAGGTCAAAAAAATTAATTACAAGAGAAAATTATGCACAATAAAAAGAGGAGAAAAATTAGCTAAATTAAACATATGGTCTTCTTCCCCCAATTTAGCCATCAGATTTAATGGAGATTAATTCTTTGTATCTAGAAAACTTCTTGATATATCCATGATCTGATTTTCTTCTAGAAACTTCTTGAGATTCTGGGCTTGATTTGAATTGGATCTTTTGTTGATAGACCAAAGATGTGATTGGTTTTATCATGGTTGCATCATTATAGACCTCCTTTGAATGATAGCGCTGCACTCGTGACTCAGTATTACCATACCCTGGAGCTCCTTTGTCTTGTTGAGGATAGCATCCTTTAGAAACTTTCCAAGCTGTGGTATAGCTAAGAAAGTATCTATGATAGGCAAGGTCATTTGCGTGTTCTCCAAGTGTTTTTCAAAGACCGCCTTGGCTCTATCTAGGATTTGTTTCTTGAAACGCCTTGGGAATGGTATCTTCGGCTGGTAAGGTGGTGGTGGAACGTATGGCTTTTCAAGCTCAGGTGTCTTCTCCACCTCTTTACCTTTGTCTTTGATCGGTTCTTTCTCCAAAATCTCTTCTTGCGCATCATCAGAGGCTGCCTCCCCACCAATTTGCTCATTGTCCTCAATGAGCTTTGTCTTAGGTTCTGGAGCTTGTAATTCCTTTCCACTCCTCAATGTGATGGCGTTCACATACTCCTTGGGGTTAGGCTCTGGCTTACCTGGTAAAGCCGGTCCTCGTGATGATGTAGAAGCTTGATTCTGCTTAAGCTCCCGGATATCCTGTTGCATTGTTGCGTGTTGGCTCTCAACTCGTTGCTGACCCTGTAACAGCTGCTGTAGAATCCCACAGACGTCGGGCCCTATCTTATTCTTAGCCGTTCCCTGAATCTGTTGCTGATTACCCATCGGCTGCGGATTGAACCCTGGTGGAAACTTATGCTGTTGCGGTTGGCTGCTGAAGTTGTTGCTCTGAGCTGGTTGGTTCTGCTGACTGTAACTCTGTTGCTGCCCACTGAACTGTTGCTTGGGCTGAAAGTTGTCCTGGGCAGGGTGCACTTGGTCTTGAGGATTAGCCACATTTGGGTTTAGGTATGAGAGGTTTGGGTTGTTTCCAAAGTTTTTAAACCGCTGATACCTTTGTTGGTTTCCAATGTAGTTTATCTCCTCTTGAGTTAGACTATCTTCATTAACATTATCAAAGCTTGGACCTTGCTCATCGAACTCACCAAACAAAATGTATTGGCTTTTGTGTAGCCATGAGGACCTTGTCAAGCTGGCTCTGTAGCTCACTTATATCTTTCTCCATGCACTGTTCTTTACTAGATCCCTCTGAACGGTTTGCTCTGTCAAAATCTTCTCCATACGTGTCATTAGACATGGCGAGGTTCTCCACTAGTTCCATTGCCGCGTTTATCTCTTTCCCAAGAAAATTTCCGTTTGAGGCTGTATCTAGTTGGTTCCTGATCTTGGGGAGGGAACCTCGGTATAGAGTACTCAGGAGGAAAGCCTCCAAGAAGCCGTGGTGTGGGCATTAGTTGGTATAGCTTCTGAACCGTTCCCATTCTTCACTAAAGCTCTCGTTGTTATGTTGTGTGAAACTAGAGATCTGATTCCTCAGCTTGGCCGTGAGTGATGTGGAGAAGAACTTGGACAAGAACGCCAGCTTGCATTGCTCACACGTTTGTATAGAACCCCTCGGGATGTTCTTTTCCCATTGGTGAGCTTTATCACCGAGGCTGAATGGGAACAGGCGTAGCTTGAAACTATCCTCGGACACGCCATTTATCTTTGTCAGGTCACAAACTCGATCAAATTGATCAAGATGCTCTAGAGGGTCCTCTCCGGGTAGACCGTGAAACTTGGTGTTCTGCACCATATTGAGCAGGGAAGCTTTAACTTCAAAGTTGTTGTTTTGGACAGGTGGTGCCTGAATCCTGGCTCTATATTGGTGCGCGTTAGCTTGGTCATTTTCTCCAACAAAGACCGGAGGAGGTTGTCTCTGAGCTTGTGGCGGAGGCTGATGAACATGATGGGCTTGTTGCTTGTTTCTGTTCGCTTGATGTTGATTATGCTGAGCAAGCCGTTCATTTCTTTGAGCATGTTGTTGATTATCGTAGGCTTGTTGTTCATTCCTCTCTGCCTGCACTTATTTAGCCTGAGCCTGGTGCTCGGCATCCTGAGCCTGTTGCTCTATTCTTTGCTGTTCTGCCATACCAAGTCTTTCAAAGTAACGTTCTCTCTCGCGAGCTCGCCTTTTGATTCGGTTGATGTTGTTGTCGTCAGGGAGAGGCGGTTCTGTTCTGCGAGACCTGATTTTCATGCACCTGAAAGCAAAGCCAGAACTTGCAAAAGAGTTAGTAAAACAAAAAAAGTAAAGTCTTGATCTCAAGAACAAATAAGAGACTAATGCTCCCACAAGTTGGCAACGGCGCCAATTGATAACTAAGAGTTTTCAGGCTCTTTGTAGAGGTTATCAATCCCCTGTCTTGTAGTACAAGGGTTTATCAATACAAACTTGTGTATGAGGCACTATTCTATGTTACTTGTGATCTTAAGTCAAGATGATCAAACAAGGGTTGTTAACTAATCTACTTAGCAAGCGAATAAACATGAAAATGAAACAAAAGATGATATTTAAACTAAGTGAGGATGCAAAAGATGATAAATGATAAAGGCAGAGGCTTTAGACAGGATCAAAGACTTGGGTGCTTCCAAGCTAAACTAGTGAGTTAATGAATCAATATTATCAAGCAGTTTCATTATAACATGCACTAGTGAAGGGTAAATGTTGCAGGTCAGCCCGGAACAAACCGGGTACTGAACGCTCTTCTTGGGTCGTCGGGTGAGCACCACGGTGTGTGAGAGAGTGAAGCCGAAGTCTTGATGCTGAGGGGTGCACGTGAGCAAAGATCAAGATGAAGATCTTGTGAAGAACACGTCAAGAACATGCATAAACCCTTGTCTTCAATCCATCTTCACGTGCTTCCTTCAAGTCACTTTGTTCTTGAATCTGGGTTCGTGACAAGGGACCTTGGCATGTAATGCCGAGGTGCTTGGTAGGACCTTGGCATGTAATGCCGAGGTGCTTGGTAGTCGAGGGGTTCAGGAAGTTGGAGTCCGTCATGTAATACCGAGGTCTTTATACCGAGGTTCATGTCCAACACTTAGTCGTTTTCAGCTTCACTTCTCTTGCATGCATGCCTCCATCTTGACATACTGAGGAGTTAGTACGACGTTTAGACCAAAAAGCTTTCAGGGGATGAGCCTCGGTGATATGTCTATATTTTACATCATTTAGAGTGCATTTTAGAGTCCTCATTATGTGTTTTCCCCATGTAAATTGAGTCTTTAGGCATGAAAATAGGATTTAGGGCTTGCATTAGGTCCCAAAGAGTTTTGCATGTTTTGAAATCCTTATCAGGTGCTTTGGGAGTCATTTGGAGCCTAAGAAGAGGAGCAGAGAAGAAGACGGTGAAGAAAAAGGTCAAAAATGGTGAAAACCGCTTGGAGGAATTTCTCGGCCAAATCGCGTACCGGACGGACAGAAACCTCGGCCAAAATCCTTACCGATCGTTCAACCTCGACCAAAAAGCTTACTGATCGCTCAGCACCGACCAAAGTCCGTACCGATCGACCAAAGTCAGCCTGGGTCGAAGATCAGGTGTAAATACCGCGGGTTGAGTTTTTGGCCGAGGCGAAGGAATTTTTACGACCAAAAAGCTTACCGCGGTACACAGCCCTCGGCCATTTTCCTTACCGCGGGAAGCTTTTCTCGACCAAAATTTGTCCTTGTCCGCGCGTTTCAAAGATCAGCAATCCGGGGAACCTTCCGGTCCGAACCAGTTGGCGGGGTCTTCAGCAAAGTTGGAGATAATCAAACAAAGATCCCAGAACAGTTGGAATCATCCAATTCGGACCAGTGGGGAGAAAGATACAGCTTCCGGAAGATGCACCAACATTACGCGCATCCGAGAACCGAACGGTGGAGTACAAAGATCACGGCGGACGGAACCTTTCCGGACCGAACCAGCTTGCCGGGTCTTCATCAAAGTTTGAGATCTTTGAAAGACCTTTTCAGAAAGGTTGGGATCGCTAAATTCGGACGAGTGGTTTGAAAGATAAAGTCTCCGGAGTTCACATCGGTCCAAACAGCTTATTTCCCGGTGATTCCAATGCGGTTCAAAGATGTGAAATCCAGGAAGCCTTCCACTTCCCAAGCTCCGACAGTTTCTTCACCAAAGTTCGAGCTTATTGAGTCATCTTGACTATGGAACTGGTCTCAGAGCATTTGGAGTCGTGGGTTGAAAGTTACTGTTTCCGGGAGGTGACATGGTCGATACGAACCCAAATATGTTGCGGTACGCGCTAAGTGTTTTCTCAGGGCTCGGCATCGTTACCTCGACATCGGCCAAGTCAAGGCTCATATTTTGGGAGTATTCTGAACTAGGCCTCGTGCTGACGCCTCGGCACGCTGGAATCAAGGCATGCACACGTAAAAAAATGAAGCTGGAAACGACTAAGTGTTGAACGTGCACCTCGGCGCAATGACCTCGGCGTGCATGCCGGCCCCTGTTCGCTCAAACCCCTCGACTACCAAGCGCCTCGGCATTTCATGCCGAGGTCCATTGTCACGAACCCAGAATCAAGAACAAAGCTGCCCAAGAACACACACATGAAGATGGATCGAAGACTAGGGTTCATGCATGTTTTTTGACGTGTTCTTCACGAGATCTTCATTTGGATCTGGACTCACGTGCACTCCTCGACATGAAGACCTCGGCTTCACTCTCCGACACACCGTGGCACTTGCCCATCAACCCAAGAACGCGGTTCAGTACCCGGTTTGTTCCGGGCTGACCCGCAACACTTTACCTTTGCTATATATACATTTTGAGACTAAAAACCTAATCATCTTATCTCTTATCTGTTTTTAGCTTTAAGAACTTGCCTCTTTGGTAAAATTTGATCATTCTAATCCGATATCTCGCTTTTGCATGAGAAATCTTGTTCCTTCTTTATTTCTTTGATCACCTAACATTAAACTCCTCATCATGACCAACTACACGTCTTGCAAAAGACTTAGTGAGCTCGTTATGATTAGTGAGTAGTCGTTTAAGCGGCTTTAGATGAGTAGATTAGGGTGCTTTCAAGGTAGATTAGTGGGTTTAGGTGTCTAGTCTTGCATGTTTCATTCTTTAACCGACGAGATCTCTAGGCTGGATCCAAGCACATCACTTGAGGTTCAGATCTGAGACATATCTCGCATCAAAAGTGTTTGTAAAAATGTCTGAACCACTCGGTTATGGGTTTAAGAGTCTTTCATCGCGAGAGTGATAGTTTTTTCTCTTAAATGACATTTTTGAACTGATTCTTATTGCTGATTGATTCGACGCTTCTCAAAAGACATTTTTGGTATGAAGGAGAATCAATTTAGATGCTTAATACTTTCATGAGAAGATTAACATGCCTTGAGTTCAAAGTTAAATGAAACCGCTTGATGTTTTGATTCATTAACCCACTAGTTGAACTTGGAAGCACCCGAGTCAAGTATCTCGTCTAAAGTCTCTTGCTTTATTACATATTATCATCATCTGAATCGCTTAGTTATCATTTGCATCTTTGCCTTGTTTGATTCTCATCATTTACTTTACTTACATGTTTAATCGTTGTTATTTAGCTTAGCAAAACCTTCACTCTTTTTATCTTGACTTAAATAAACAAACAACATAGACTAGTGTCTCGTTGACAAGTCTGGATTGACACCTCTTAGTACTACTTTGACAAGGGGATTGATAGCCCTGAGACCCTAAAAAGTCTTATCTATCACTCGGCCTGAACAATGTCGAGGTAACAATGCCGAGGTCTGTAGAAACACTTAGCGCATATCGCAACTCCTTTGGGCTCATATCGACTAATTCGTCTTCCGGAGGCAATAACTTTCAGCACACAACTCCAAATTGTGCGACCTCAGGCGTTCTGGAAAGAGCATTCACAGACCTTGAATATTGATGGGGCCCCGTAAGCTGGTTCGAGCTGGAAGGGCTTCGTCGCACGTAATCTTTGAAACTCATCTGATCGGTTTTTGGATGCATACGAGACAGGCGTGTCTTCGGAGGTGATATCTCTTTACTCACAGGTCCGAATTACGTGATTCCAACTGTTCTGGGATCTTGGCTTGATTATCTCCAACTTTGATGAAGATCCCGTCAACTGATTCGGACTGGAAGTTTCCCGGATTTGAGATCTTTGAGGTGCACGGGTGAAAATGGGATTTAGCCGATAAATGCTTCCCGCTGTAAGGAAAATATCCGATAATCATGTACTGCGGTAAGCTTTTTAGCCGATAAAAAGTTCTCGCATCGGCATAAAATTTTACCCGATGGAGTTTTCACCCGGTAATGATTTTTAGCCTGTAAAAGCCACCCGATAGCGATTTTGGCCGATGTTCTGATCCAGCCGAGAAATTCCTCCAAGCGGTTTTCACCATTTTTGATCTTTTCTTCAATGTTTTCACTTCTGATCCTAACTTTGAGCTACAAACGTCTTCTAAAGCACCTGATAAAGATTTCAAACCATGCAAAACTCATTGGGACCTAATGCAAGTCCTAAAGCTTAGTTTGA